TTACATATACTCCCCTTTGATCTTCTCCACATGGTACTGTGCTGACATTGAGTAGATAACCTGAGCCAGAGCCTTCAGGTGCCGTTTGGTATTCATAGTGCCCTAACCTTGGACCTTAGAAATGGAAATGCAATATTTATGTCTAACGTTGTATGGTAGGATTATAGTTGCCACTATTGTTGACTTTTTGAATTGCATTTGTATTGTGGAATGTGAACCTGTTGGATTCTCAGCTTATCAGCACCAAATCGGATTTGTAGGAGCCACATAACCGGCAATAATCCTTGTCTATTATTTATGTATTATTTATTTATTATCTATCTATCTATCATTTCACCTGTTCACCTGTTCACCTGCATGGCAAATGGAGGGAGGGTGAGTTTGTGTTCTCACTTTTGATTTTGTTTTATTACTTTAATAAATGGACAATAAATCTGAATTCTGAAGTGGAACTGGATCATTCAATGGTGGGTCCAAATGTGTGGATTTTCCATGTCTCAGCCTCAGTAGCTTTATGTTACCTTGAGCTGTTCTATATACATTAGATTTTCCAAATCTTGCACTCTTGATTCCTACTCTTCCTAAAAAAATACATTTCCAGTACCTTACCAGGTAACTTTCCTGGGCTTTAGCTTGAGGATACAGGACAGCACTTGCTTTTAGTTGCTGAAGTTTTACCAAGGACAACATAATTAATTTCCAAGATACGTGGTAATTTGAATCAATTTCCAGGTTTTCTAGGATGTTTACAATATAAAAAGTATAAATCATGCAAAATAGCTTTAATTTGAAAAACAGATTGTGAAAGGTTCAAATTAGTAAAAAACAGAAAACTTGTTATTCTTTAACTTACTCCTTCATGTAAATAAGCAGAGCAACCACCCATTATTTAAACTCAATTATTTCACATGGTCCAATTATTTGGAGGAAAGCTGGGTCGAGATTGTTTAAGTACTCCACCCACCAGGTAGAGGCTTCCGGTGGTGAGCACATGGATCTCGGCTGCATCACAGAGCAGAACAGCTTCCCTGCCCTGAGTGATCCACTGGAGGTAGCTCTGGGTGCAGGGGAAAGACCAGGGTGTCTCCTTTCTTTTCAGGGAGCGGGAGCAGGCTGTCCTCGGAGAGCAGCTGTGCCCTTTGTTGCTCCCCACCCACTGCTGTGGAGATGCCAGCTCCTCTCATGTCCCGGCTGCGTTACAGCCTGTCTTCTGCTGAGACAGTCTGGTCTGAGGGGGGGGAATGAAAAGAACATACATAAAAATGTAAAAATGACAATTTTACATTTTTATGGAATTTATGAATTATTTCTTGCTGAATGAGTCGAGTGCAGCTTCCTAACCAGCTTCAAAATGTGAAAATTGACTGAGGTTCTGACCAAAGGCTTAAGCTCAACTGTTATTAGACACAGAGCAGAAAGGGGCAGGACTTATTATATAATACAAAATTTTGCCAAATTTAAGGAAACCTTGAAGTGTAGTAAAATAAACTTTTTAAGACGTGTTAGGGAAGCAAAATAGCCCAAAATGTCAAACCTGACCAGTAAAAAAAAAAAAACAACATTTCTGCATGATGTCTCGGCTTAAGTTGCAATATATTAATATATAACTAGATTAACACACACATAGAGACGTTCACCTTGCATTCTTTTGGTGCTGGGCTGAAGTCTCTCTGAACCAGGCTGCACAGGCCTGGATGCTGCGCATTGTGTGAGCTCCATCCAGGAAGAAGGTGACTGCTCCGTGTTTCAGGATCTGAGTCCTTCCAGGCCACTGTGTGTCCGCCAGCCCTGAGAGCACGTAAAGGGGAGGGACATAGGACGGGTCCATTCAGTCTTTGTCAGCACTGTATTGGCTGCACATTTAGCTTAGCTTTAGCTTGTTTGCCTTCACATATGCTAATGTTGCAGCAACAATCGAGTCCTAATGTGCTTCATCGACTGGCTCTGTTCAGTCCTTCTTATTTTAACACGTGAACAGGCTGTGGGGGATGAAAGTGTTGGATGGGTAGTAAATGTATATAGAGTGCTTAAGGGGGTTTGTGTTTTATGGTAAGGGGGTGATTGATAAGCATTTGGTCACAGTCACAAGGTCAGATCAGTTTTGTGAGGACCATTTATGTAACATTTGCTTTAACTGGTGTATATGACTGCATAGAGAGCTCACAAACATGGTGATGCAGTCATTTCATTTCCTCTCTTTGACCCCTTCAGAAAAGCAGCGAAAGCAACAATCTCTGTCCTGATTTAGCTCTTATCAACAGTGATTGGTTGTTGTTCTTTAGGAACTCACCTTTCACCATGATGGGGCTGGGCTTGAAGAAAGTCAGCTGAAGTAGCCCTGCGTTCTCAACACTGGTGGAGGTTAAGCTTTCTGTTGAGAGAGGACACGTTATGCAGACAGACCTTAAGTCATTTCCCGACATGGAATACACAACCTCTGCGTCAGCTGCAACTGGCTGTTAAAAGGGATTTTTTTGGCTGCAACATGTACAGAATTTATTTTCTATAGATTTTCCCTGTCCCAAACAGAGATAGTTACTCTCTTATCAAGCCAATCTCTTTCACTTTTGGATTTATGATGTCCTTCTAGCCACTGACAGTACAACATCTCGCCCTACCTGGTAGACATCTTCTCTGCAGCCAAGTGTGACTCAGCTGGAGGGCCAGGGAGGCATTGAAGTGCTGGTGCTTCCCTGCCAGGCCCAGATGCAAAGGTCCACAGTCTGCCTGGTAGTCCTCCAGCTCCGGACAGACCCTCAGAGGACACTACAACAACCGGGTTAGCCTTTAATACACCAAACTGAACCGCTGGAGGAGAGATTTCAACAACCTAGTTTATATAAAACTTCACTGCAGGTATTACTCTGAAGGGTGACTTACTCTTATCAGTTCAGCTCTGTCCCTGAGCACAGCCAACCCATCTTCTGGCTGTTGGACAGTGAAGGCGGGAACCCCCGGCTGAAAACACGTGTATATGATTAACAGACGACAGAGAGGTGGACGAGTAGAAAGAGTAGTTTTATCTTAAAGGATTTCAATATCTCCCCAAAAAGTGTGAACTTCAGTATGAAGAAATCATTACATCCATCAGACCCGTCTCTGTCCCAGCTGACTCAAGGACCTCTTACTAGCTTTTCCCGGCACTTTCAAGCACAATCTTCATCAGTGGACGCAGTTTTCATAGAGATTACTCAAAATCAAACCAAAAAACCAAGCAAACTCCCAGTGCTGATGAAGACTGTGAGATGAAGCTGAAAGCACCAAAAAGCTAGGAAGTATCCACTAAGTAGCATGTTTTGGTCTTATTACTTATATTCATATTTTGTCCAATCACAGTGCTACATTACTGATGAGTGCGGCCAACGCACCTTGAAGATTCCTCCTTTGTGCCAGGCGATCTTTGCAATGGTGTCTCCAAGAATCTCAGTGTGGTCTATATCCAGAGAGGCGATACCGCACACCCACGGCCTCCTACACACAATCACAGAGGAGGACAAACATTTTATTACCACACTGATGGAGCTTTAAACACATCTATATAGTGACAGTAAAGGGTTTTTGAGCTGCAAACTTATTGAAAACTTATCTCTCATCTGTCAAATTTAGGAAAATCAGCATTTCATGGTTTGAAAATGGCTCAACACACCCTCTACTGTCTGACCCTGAACCTTGCAAGGCTCAGACAAGACAGACAATCTTTGTGTCTGATCTGAAGTGAATTAACGACAAATGGATGGAATAGTTCGATTCAAATTTGTGATCAAGACGGTAAAAATAATTTAATAAGTTTTATAGATTTATAAATGGAGAGTCTTACTTTATAATGTTGGTGCAGTCATATGCTCCACCAATCCCAACTTCAAGTATAACTACACCTACCTGGATGAAGAGCAGAGCGGTTCAGATTAGAGTTATTTAAGTCATTAAGTCATTAAGTAATAAAACGTGTTGCCTTTCTAGTGGGCCTCAGAATGATCATTTCCGAAGTTTTCTACAGGCCAGAAAACAGCGGAAACTCATCAGATTGAAATTTAATGGCTGGAAATGTGTACCTTCTCTTGAATAAACACATGGAAGGCCAAGACGGTGAGAAAAGGGAAGCACAGCGGCATCGTCCCTCCATGGGTGTCCTGAAGGGGTCAAAGAGAGGAAATAAAATGACTGCATCACCATGTGTGTGAGCTCTCTTTGCAGTCACATACACCAGTTAATGCAAATGTTACATAATTGTTTTCTTAAATGGTACGTAAATCTCCACGCTCACAGCCACAAACACTCACAAACACAACATTAAAGCCTGTACGTGTAGATTATTTCTCACTAAATTGGTCCATGGGATTGCTTTCAGCCCATTCATTCACAATGCCAGTGGCTTTTTTTAATACATCACTGCAATGAAACATTTCTAGTTATTTTCTCATTCCTTGATCAAATAGATAGATAGATAGATAGATAGATAGATAGATAGATAGATAGATAGATAGATAGATAGATAGATAGATAGATAGATAGATAGACAGACAGACAGACAGACAGACAGAGAGAGAGATAAACAGTAGGTCAAGTAACTTTGTGAGAGGTTGCTTGACCACGAATGTGTCCTTAAAAACATTTAACTGCACACCGAATACTGGTTAAGTTAAGTTGAGTTGAGTCTTCCAGCCTGACAAGAGGGGTCTCATTTTATATTAAAGTCAGTAAAGTGCTGCAGGATGAGTTCTAAAACCCGGAAACGAGTTAGGATCTTTGCACCTCCGGTTCCCTCTTCTCAAAGTCAATAGTTATTTTGAATGTTTTTCAGTTTGATGCCTGAATTAAGGTCTGCGGTGAACACAAGCTTCAGAGATTTTCACATTCTGTTCTACGACAGGTTGATCTATTGAATGGAGCAGCCACAGCCAGCTGACACTACACGTGACCTACCTTAGTGTCTTCCAGCCGTCTATAAACCTGCCAGAAGTATTTAGTGAAGAGCTCTTTTCCAATGGGCTGTCCGTTGATTCGAATCCTCTCCCGGACTTCGACCAAATGTGGGGGAACTGCAACCAAGCAGGAAAACAGGAGCCACTTTTCACTGCTTGAAGTTGATCACATTACAGGCCAAACTCCACCGTTGTCAGCTGATATCGGGAGAAACACTGTATGCCTCAGGACAATATCCTGCAGTATTATTACAATAATATGTGACATGTAAAAGGTTCTGCTGTGTCTTTGCCGACACTACAAGCAGTAAAGAGATTAAAGTTTGTCACAGAATCAGCACCGCCTGCTGCAGTTTGAATATCAGCTGACAGAGATTCAATATCTGATCTCCTTTTACTCATTTCACTCCGGGGATCAATAAAGTATTTCTGATTCTGTCCTCACCTGTCGATCGCACTCTGTTTCTTTTGGTTGCCATAATTTTTGATTTCTTTCATTTTCCAGTTTGTGGTCAGTGAGCCTGGACTTGGTTAGGATCTGTCTCTGCTTTCTATCTCAGTTCAATATATAATCTTTTTTTAGGGCCAGATAATATATTCTTATGTGTCAATAAGACACAGACACCAATTGTGTACATTTTGTTCATACGCTGCATTTTTACCTGTTAAATCCTGTGCGGTAGCCGTAACCTCTCAATATCCGCTCAGTGAAGGCACATGTTGAGCCCTTAAAGACAAACACAAAAATGTAAGAGGTCATCCAAGATGAAGACATGTTTGTGTGACGTGCCAGAGCTTGTGGACTCTCTCACACTCTTCAAATCAAGACTAAAAACTCACCTATTCAGAACTGCATACCCCACTTAACCATCTACATTGTCTTTTCCTGTTTCTTATTTCTTACTGTTTTTATTTTTTATGTGTTGTACGGTGTCCTTGAGTGTCCAGAGAGGCGCCTTTAAATAAAATGTATTATTATTATTATTATTGTGTCATAACCAACGCCGACGTGAACCACTACCAGACAGAGTGGTGATTACACACTCACATGCCACCCTGACAACTTAAACCAATTAGACCGCTGGTTCCCAACCTAGGCGTTGTCAAGAATGCAGGTGGAGGTTGCAAGGCCTTCTTGATTTTAAAGCCTATATCTCATTTTGCTTTCATTTCTGTGGAGAAAACTAAATGAAATTAAAGTTTAGATTATTATTTAAGATCTGAACTTTAAAAGGCCTGAACACAAGCTGTGTTCATAGAGCCTTCACTCTGATAAACAGCCTCATCCTGCATTAGAAAAGTATGCAGTTAAAAAGAAAGCCTATTAAACCTGTATGATTGTTAAAAAAAAAAAACATATTACAGACAGCAACAGAAAGAAACAAAAGGAAAACTCATCTGTGATGCTTACAGGAAATAAGCTGGTCAAAATTATAACACCTATCGTAGTTGTTTCTAAATTAGATTGTTTATTTCCATCCACAATGAGTTCAATTCAATTACTTAGTCGATCGACTTATTATAAATAAAATTGTGATAAAAGTACATTTTTAATGCAAAAATGACATAAAATGCAGCTTACAGCCTCTGATCTTTGGAGATTTCCTACTTTTCTGTTTCATATCATATTAAACTGACTAACTTTGGATTTTACAAAACAAGACATTTAAACAGTTCACCTTGGACTAAAGTGGGATGGAGATTTGAACTATTTTTCTTAGAGACCAAAATGATTAATTACTGACTCAACCTTTAAAAAGACATCATACTACACAGTTTTTAGTCAGCTCACCTTTCCCTTTGTTCCCGCCACATGAATGATATTGAGATGGTCCAGATCCTCTGCCTTTGACACACACACACACACACACACACACATCAGATAAGACTAAAGGAAATATTTACTCTATTTTACTCTTTTATGTATATGTAATGTGGGCAGATATAAGACTCACTGTGATGCCGACTCGCTCCAGGAAGCCTCTCATGGCCTGGAGCTTCAGCTGAGGACAAATCCGCGTTTGCTCTTGCATCTCCAGCGCACTTGCATCGGTCTGTAGTGCACTCAGAGTGCGAATTGCATCCTGCAGCAAAAGCAAACAGAGGAACGTTAAGAACTGCAGCTCGCTTAAATGAACTGCTGTTTGAGAAAATTAATGAGCCTGAAAAAATTAACTAAATAAAACTTTTTAAAGATTGCAATCTTCAGTAGGAACCAGTGCCAAAGACAGGTAGGGAAGTCAGAAAGTGTTGGGAGATAGACTCACACATTTAAGCAGTAAGTGTAAAGTCAACCAAAGACAAATCCTGCAGCAAATAATAGAACAGCTGCTTTGTTGACTTTACTGAAAGACATTTTGATCCAATACAACCCATTGAGAGAGAGTCTCACAGCTTACCATTTCTGTCAAGCGTCCAAAGTCACTATCCATGGCAAGATCCTCTGCTGTGAAGTCCGACAATGCATGCAGAATCACCTTCAGTAGCAGGTACGCTCTCATCTACCTCCAACACAAACACACTCTTCTGACTCCACCCCATGTATCTCTAGACAGACAAGTTCTCCTCCTCACACTTGGCAGATGATGTTGTTTTTCAGCCTCTCAAAGATGGAGTGACTGACAAGTAAACAATAAACAAGTCAATTTTAGTGCCAAAATACTTGCTGTAAGGTGGAGCCACAGCTGCTTCCCTTGCTGGCGTTCAGGCAGTCTGCGACAGGGAATACAGTACCAAGGTAGTTTCTTTTTATTTATTTAACCTTTGTTAACCAGGAAGTCCCTTGACATTGAAATCTCTTTTCCAAGGTAGACCTGTTTTGGCTCCAGACATCCTGTGTCATCAATTCCATAAAACACCTCCCTTTCCGGCCGTTGTTTGTAGCAACAAGATTGTAAATTCCACATGTTGTGGCTTCATACCAGGATATTATAGGAGTTAACATCTGGGGAACGTGGTCTGTGGAGTCCTTAAGCTTTATTAAGACCCACAGTACTGAATGGGCCTAGTTAGTGTAATGTTGTTTCTACTATCTCAACATTTGATTCACAGTAGAATTCAAGAAAAAACCTAGAGGAGAGCAGATATAAAACCAAAAGATTGAATAAACAAAGACCTGGGGATAACTAGTATAGATCTTATTTACTGATTACACATAATTAATGGGCAAATCATTTCAAACAAATCATCATATACAGTGCTTCCAGCTTTAGTCTGTGGATTTATCTGCTTAGTAACTTTGTCCATGTTCCACTCTTAACTCTCAGACAAGAAAGCAAACCTGAACATTCAATGCACACAAGGTTTGCCTTTTCTTTTACAGGAAATACAGGCTCCTGACAATTCTGACAAAGTAACAGAGTCAGGAAGGCATGAAATGAACTTTCTCAGCCCCTGACAAAATTCAAGAGAGACCCCAGGTATAACCCTGCAAGAAGGAAGTGAGATCTTTCTCTGCACAAGTATTAACATCCGTAGTGCCACTGAGCTGACACTTTGACTTCATGACCATTTAAGGATGAGACGTAGACATCTGATCTTTTGTGGGGGTTGGGGGAAGGTGTCAGGCCTTTCTCTGCACAATACTAACATCTGCATGGTTTGTATTGATCCTTCTACGTTTGAAGACTGCAGGTGCTGATTTCTGCTTGGTGAGTTCTATTAAAACAGATGACATTTCTCTGTAGTATGTCTCGCTTAATGAGATACAACAGAAGATGTGTCGATACTGGTGGTATTTGTAACGTGTAATTAAACTACTTTGTGAATTTGCAGACAGTACTTTTTCCAGTCGTGTGTGGGTGCTATGATAAATAACCACCCTTAAAAAAGGGAAATGATAGCCAATAATTGATTGATCAGCCGAATAAAAAACACTATACTATTAATTAGGGTAATAATGAAATTAATAACTATAACCAAAATCACTATTCATAATTAAAGTGGAAGGCTTTGGAGTTCTGCATAGAAGAGGCTGGTATCACCCACTCTTGTGCGAAATTATATAGGTCAGCATAAATAAACACAATCATTTATTAATGAGACAATAAAAGCTAACAGAGGAAAATATACTATATATAATCTAACTTAAAGCAACTAAGTTAGAGGAAAAAGGAGTGTAGGTGTCTGTGTGTGCGCTGGGGGGTTGCGTGCCAGAAAAGGTGTGTGTCCTTTGTCCTCTGACCAGATGTTTTAGCTGAGCATAAAACATGTGTTGATGAGAGACAAAGAGCATGCATGCATGTATAAGGTCATGTATTTGGCTTGAATTGGTGTGGACTGCCAAAAGACTGAAATAATGAAAATGTCAAAACTTCTGTAAACCGTTTCTGAAGCAATAGCTGAGTTTCAAATTGACATTTGCACTGGTGACGTGGCACGGGATGAAATAAACACATAATTCCTTCAGATAAACACAAAACATCCCTCAGATAAAAACTTCTCTTATTTTTAGCAGGGCCCAATAATGGTGAAACTTAAAGAGGACCTCATTAGTACAGGGACTGAAGTATGGGTAGCAAGTGAACATTTTGTCCTCAAAGTCAATGTGTTAGAAGCAGGCAAAATGGGCAGTGTGAGGGTCTGAGCGACTTTGACAAGAGCCAAGTTCTGATGGCTTGACAACTGGGTCAGAGCATCTCCAAACCTGCACCTCTTGCTTGGTGTTCCTGGTCTATCAAAAGTGGTCCAAGGAAGGAGAAGTGGTGAAATGGAGACAGGGTCATGGGCAGCCGAGGCTCACTGATGCACATAGGGAGTGAAGACTGGCCTGTAGTCCGATCCAACAGACGAGCTACTGAAGCTCAAATGCTGGTTCTGATAGAAAGGGGTCAGAACACACAGTGCATCACAGTCTGTTGGTCTGGGGCTGCAGAACATTCTGACCACCAGGGTGCCCAGGTGGTCAGAATTTTATGGCTAATCGGTGTATTTTAACAAAAAATGTATTTTTTAACAACTTTATAATCATGTGAAATTTACTTAAATGACTTTACTTGTTTTAATTTTTTAAGACCCAGAGTACTGCATGGGCCTAGTCTAATGTTGCTTCTATTATCTTTACATTTGATTTACAGTAGAATTCAAGAAAAAACCCAGAGGAGAGAAATTATAAAGCCAAAAGGTTGAACGAACAAAGAGCTGAGGATTATTAGTATAGATCTTATTTACTGATGGGGTATAAAGAGGGCAGGTTTACTATTCAAATGGACAAATCATTTCAAACAAATCATCATATACAGTGCATCCAGCTTTAGTCTGTGGATTTATCTGCTTAGTAACTTTGTCCATGTTCCACTCTTAACTCTCAGACAAGAATGCAAACTTGAACATTCAATGCACACAAGGTTTGCCTTTGCTTTTACAGGAAATACAGGCTTCTGACAATTCTGACAGAGTAACAGAGTCAGGAAGGCATTTGAGTAAAACTGAAATGAACTTTCTCAGCCCCTGTCAAACTTCACGAGAAACCCCAGGTATAACCCTGCAAGAAGGAAGTAAGACCTTTCTCTGCACAACTATTAAATCCGTAGTGCGGTTCAGCTGACACTTTGACTTTATGACCATTTAAGGATGGTGATAAACATGTGTCGATACTGGGGGTATTTGTAATTGGACTACTTTGTGAATTAGCTGACAGTACTTTTTCCAGTCGTGCCTGTCCTAGAATCAGCATTATCATTGTTACTGTTATTACTACAACAACTATATAAGCTGTTTACATCTATTGAGGATTATTTTATCTTGAAACAAAATTCAAATGAAAAATGGACAATTGGTATGAAAGGAAAAATGGTAAATAAATAATTTTGTTCCTCTACTACTAAAGATAATCCGGCCATAACAAAAAGTTGTAAATAAAAACTGAATTACTTAGAGGGCAAGTTTACTATTTAAATGGGCAAATCATTTCAAACAAATCATCATATACAGTGCATCCAGCTGGAGTCAGGTAACTTTGTCCCTGTTCCACTTTTAGCTCTCAGACAAGAATGCAAACTTTAACATTCAATGCACACAAGGTTTGCCTTCCATTTTAAATGAAATACAGGCGCCTGACAATTCTGACAAAGTAGAGTCAGGAAGGCATTTGGTTAAACCTGAAACTTTGTTAATATGTGGTCAGCCCCTGTCAAAAGTCACCTAAGAAATTTCACGTATAACCCTGTGGGAAGGTATTGTGACATTTTCTGCTCAATTGTTAACATCCGTAATGCGGTTGAGGTGACAATTCAACTTCATGACCATTTAAGGATAAGATGTAGACAGAGACCTTAGATTGAGGCTGATCTTTTGCCCCTGAACTATAGTATTAACTAAGTTGAAGAACGTAGAGTCCACCTCAATGAGAAACCTGAGTTTCATGACGAGAGAACAAGTGGGGGTGGGGGTGGGGGGGGGACCTGTACAAAACCAAAAATGGTAAGAAGTGGCCTCATATTAAAGCCTGCAACAGAGAAGTCAGACCGTTCTCTACAGTGTTGCATGGAATAGTTTGATTGTATTGATCATTCTACATTTGAAGACTGCAGGTGCTGATTTCTGCTTGGTGAGTTGTATTAAAACAGATTACAAAACACATTTCTCTGTGCTCAAGTATGTCTTGTTTAATGAGATACAACAGAAGATGTGTCGATAATAGGGGTATTTGTAATGTGTAATTGGACTACATTGTGAATTAGCTGAAAGTACTTTTTCCAGTCGTGCCTGTCCTGGAATCAGCATTATCATTATTATTACCATTATTACTACGACAACTCTATAAGCTGTTTACATCTGTGGAGGATAATTTTATCTTGAAACAAAATTCAAATGGAAAACGTAAAGTTGATAAGTTGTTTTAAAGAGTTCGGTCTAGACCTGCTCTATTTGAAAAGTGTCCTGAGATAACTTCTGTTATGAATTGGCGTTATACAAATAAAATTGAATTGAAAGAAAGGAAAAATGGTAAATAAATAATTTTGTTCCTCTACTACTAAAGATAATCCGGCCATAACAAAATGTTGTAAATAAAGACTGAATTACTTAGAGGGCAAGTTTACGTTTCAAATGGGCAAATCATTTCAAATCATCATATACAGTGCTTCCAGCTTTAGTCTGTGGATTTATCTGCTTAGTAACTTTGTCCATGTTCCACTCTTAACTCTCAGACAAGAAAGCAAACCTGAACATTCAATGCACACAAGGTTTGCCTTTGCTTTTACAGGAAATACAGGCTCCTGACAATTCTGACAAAGTAACAGAGTCAGGAAGGCATTTGAGTAAAACTGAAATGAACTTTCTCAGCCCCTGACAAAATTCAAGAGAGACCCCAGGTATAACCCTGCAAGAAGGAAGTGAGATCTTTCTCTGCACAAGTATTAACATCCGTAGTGCCACTGAGCTGACACTTTGACTTCATGACCATTTAAGGATGAGATGTAGACATCTGATCTTTTGTGGGGGTTGGGGGAAGGTGTCAGGCCTTTCTCTGCACAATACTAACATCTGTATGGTTTGTATTGATCCTTCTACGTTTGAAGACTGCAGGTGCTGATTTCTGCTTGGTGAGTTCTATTAAAACAGATGACATTTCTCTGTAGTATGTCTCGTTTAATGAGATACAACAGAAGATGTGTCGATACTGGTTGTATTTGTAACGTGTAATTAAACTACTTTGTGAATTTGCAGACAGTACTTTTTCCAGTCGTGTGTGGGTGCTATGATAAATAACCACCTTTAAAAAAGGGAAATGATAGCCAATAATTGATTGATCAGTCGAATAAAAAACACTAAACTATTAATTAGGGTAATAATGAAATTAATAACTATAACCAAAATCACTATTCATAATTAAAGTGGAAGGCTTTGGAGTTCTGCATAGAAGAGGCTGGTATCACCCACTCTTGTGCGAAATTATATAGGTCAGCATAAATAAACACAAGCATTTATTAATGAGACAATAAAAGCTAACAGAGGAAAATATACTATATATAATCTAACTTAAAGCAACTAAGTTAGAGGAAAAAGGAGTGTAGGTGTGTGTGTCTGTGTGTGTGTGTGTGTCTGTGTGTGTGTGTCTGTGTGTCTGTGTGTCTGTGTGTGCGCTGGGGGATTGCGTGCCAGAAAAGGTGTGTGTCCTTTGTCCTCTGACCAGATGTTTCAGCTGAGCATAAAACATGTGTTGATGAGAGACAAAGAGCATAGAGGAGTGTTTGATTTCCCTCTCCTCATGATGTGCTGAGGTTTAGGCTGAATATGTGTGTATGTGATCGTAGATTAATGGTGCCGTTAAAAGAGAGTTAGTTACATGCAAAGACGGTGTCTGTGTAAAGCTTAACATTAAACTAACATCACCTTAGCACTGTCTCAAAGACTACAGTAACATACAATAATCAGATCAACAACACAACATAACCTGAATAAAAACACATCAGTACATTAACAGTAATTAAACAGTCCTTGCTTAGCCACTAATCTTTAAAAATGAAAAGATATCTGAAACTGGGAAACTGAAAAATAACAGAAAAAAGAAAGAAATCATTTTGTTCCTCTACTACTAAAGATAATCAGGCCATATAAAAATGTTGTGATTAGCATTTGACAAGCCTGTCAACAACAGTGGCTGCAGTTATATAGCATGTCATTATGCTATATTTCAGGTCTAATGTTCCAATGCATTACATTAAGTACTTTGAATTGTCTTTTGTATGACAATATGTAATATAAATAAACTTGCCTTGCTGGTTTTAGTATCTAGCTCAACCAAAGGAAAGAGGACAAGTGTTTATCACCAACAACTGTAGCAGCTGTTGCTGACTTCCTAGTCTAAACAGCAGGAATCAAAGTGGTGAAGTGCAGCTCTAATCATTATTACTTTCATGTCAGGTTTTCACAGGCCAAACTGTTCCCTTCAACATCCAGCTTGACCAGTCGTGAACTCTTGTAGAGGTATGTAAAACTTAAAATGTCTTAAAAGTTGTTTTTTGTTTATATTGGAATAATGAATATTTGATATAAAATGCAAATTTGTATTTATCTGTTTTGAATATACGACACGCTTGACTTGAAAAATGAAAAGTGTCCTTCTTGGCTCTCCCAAAGGATAGTAAATGTATTCCACTTAAGGTCATGTATTTGGCTTGAATTGGTGTGGACTGCCAAAAGACTGAAATAATTAAAATGTCAAAACTTCTGTAAACCGTTTCTGAAGCAATAGCTGAGTTTCAGATGCACATTTGCACTGGTGACGTGGCACGGGATGAAATAAACAAATAATTCTTCGGATAAACACAAAACATCCCTCAGATGAAAACATCTCTTATTTTTTAGCAGGGAGCCATAATGGCGACACTTAAAGAGAACCTCTTGAGAATTCTAGAGAAATTAAAAGAAGAAGAGTTAAAAAAATTCAAGTGGTTCCTGGAGCAGGATGAAGGTTTTTCAGGCATCCCAGCGGCTCAGTTGGAAAAGGCAGAAAGGGAGACCACAGTGGATTTAATGGTACAAACACATCAGGAACCTGGAGCTCTGAAGATAACTTTGAAGATTTTAGAAAAGATCAGAAGAAATGATCTGGTGCAGCGTTTGCAAACCTCCAGCCCAGAACCAACAGGTAAGTCAGGGGAAGGTAAAAATATGAACATCAGAATAAATGCCACAGTAATCTCATAAATTATTACATAATAGAAATGTGTTAATAAAAGAAGTAAAAACTAATTTGTCACTCTTTGTGGTACTCTACCTTCATCAAAAATGAAAGAAGCTGGATAAAGAGAACTCCTGCTTTTACATCAGAAAGAAAATTAGTCTGCAAGTAGATCCTGGATTTGAACTTGTCACCTTGCTGTAATTTATCAAAACCTGTTAACCAATAAGGTGGATTCCAGAAGAGGCTTTTCTAAAGTGAAGAGTGTAATCAATAAACAAAAGGACATACCTCAAGAGTATAGAGAATATATGTTTTCACAAAATATATTCAGGATAAAGACAGTACTCCTTTATAGTGACAAAGAAGTGAGACCTCATGTCTGGATCACTTTACAGCTAGCGCCACCTTTCTTCTGAATTGTTTGGGGGAAAACAAACAAAAACAAACTTGTTGAGGCAGGCCAACCAACTGAAATTCAGTATAAGAGAAGTTTTCACTCTTTTAAACTACAAAATATGATTAGCAGGTGTAGCCTAACATGAAAAGATACTAAGAACTAAAACAAGCCACCAACTAGTTCTAAAAGTTATACACATAAAATAAAATATTTTTTTAAAGAAATTGAAGCACAAAATTCTAATAATGGGACTAACAGTAAACAGCTACTCTGCAAAACTGACTGTGTGCTCTGCCTTGTTTCAGACCCCAAGACACTTTCTTTTGGTGCTCAGAAAGAGGAGGATGACAAAAAGAAGACCAAGTTAGAGCAGTTAGCATCTACTGCTAATCGTGTACTGAACCTTAACACACATGACTCTGGTGATCAGAAAAAATATGAAAAAGGGAAGGCTGACCTGAAGAGTGTCCAGCTGTTTGCAGTGGATGTGACTCTGGATCCTGAGACAGCACATCCTCATCTCATCCTGTCTGGTGATGAGAAACAAGTACATCATGGTGATGTGAGGCAGAGGCTCCCATACAACCCTAAGAGGTTTAAAAGTTGTGTTAATATCTTAGGAAAGCAGAGTTTGTCCTCAGGAAGATTTTACTTTGAGGTTCAGGTTAAAGGGAAGACTGACTGGACTGTAGGAGTGGTCACAGAATCGATTGACAGGAAAGAAGATATTACTCTGAGTCCTGAGGATGGCTTCTGGACTGTATGGTTGAGAGATGGAAATAAGTATGATGCTAATGATGAAAACCCTGTCTGCCTTTCTTTGAAGTCTCAGCTTCAGAAGGTGGGAGTGTTTGTAGATTATGAGAAGGGTCTGGTCTCCTTTTATGATGTAGATACTGCAGATCAGCTGTACTCCTTTACAGACTGCTCCTTCACTGAGAAACTCTACCCATTCTTCAGTCCCTGTACTAATGATGGTGGTAGAAACTCTGCCCCTCTGATCATCTGTCCAGTCAAACCCCCACTGAACATTGAGACACTTGACTTTGGTGGTAAGAAAGAATATGAAACAAAGAAGGCTGAGCTGAAGAGTGTCCAGCAGTTTGCAGTAGATGTGACTCTGGATCCTGATACAGCACATCCTGCTCTCTTCCTGTCTGATGATGGGAAACAAGTACATGATGGTGATGTATGGAAGAAACTCCAATACAATTCTAAGAGGTTTAAGAAATGTGTTAATGTATTAGGAAAGCAGAGTTTCTCCTCAGGAAGATTTTACTTTGAGGTTCAGGTTAAAGGGAAGACTGCCTGGACTGTAGGAGTGGCCACAGAATCGATTGACAGGAAAGAAGATATTACTCTGAGTCCTGAGGATGGCTTCTGGACTGTATGGTTGAGAGATGGAAATAAGTATGATGCTAATGATGAAAACCCTGTCTGCCTTTCTTTGAAGTCTCAGCTTCAGAGGGTGGGAGTGTTTGTAGATTATGAGAAGGGTCTGGTCTCCTTTTATGATGTAGATACTGCAGATCAGCTGTACTCCTTTACAGACTGCTCCTTCACTGAGAAACTCTACCCATTCTTCAGTCCCTGTACTAATGATGGTGGTAGAAACTCTGCCCCTCTGATTATCTGTCCTATCAATCACAACAATTAATCATAAGACTGCTGCTACTAAGTTTGAAGAAGTAAAGGTTAAAGTTGGCCAGAGTGTAGCAGCAAATTATATTTATGGCACCAAGCCTAAAGTAATGTACCAATGAGAATAATAAATGTCTATAGTGTCTGAAGTTAAAGTACTCAGTAAAGGTTTTAACCACTTGTGTTTATATTCTGCTGATTGTCATTTCTATCAAATGAAAAGGGGTCCATGCGGTATAACCCCTGGACGTTGAACAATTCCACTGATGAACAGTTGGTGGCAGTAGTGCACTAGAACAATTTAAACCTAAAGGATCATTCAGATTATATAATGTTTAAGGCTTTTACCTAATCAAGAGCCCACTCATTTAGGAAAATTAAGTCTGTCATCAATCACAAGAAAAAAGCGTAAGATTTCATTTAAGGATCACAATACAACCAATATTAGGTCAGTCAAGAACAACAGTTGAGATTATTTGATGGGTTGATGACTTGTATTGCCATCTTTGTAAATAACTTATGCTTTAACTTTTTTTAAAGTTTGTACATATGAGGACATTTTGATTTAAATTGTGTTAGAGACAAGATAATTGACATTTTACAAGTGTGCCCTTTCACTTATTTCTTTTCACAGTATTTCTAGTATAATCACTGTAATTGTAATAGAACAGTATTGTCATTTTCGATTATTCACTGAGCTTTATAAGCAGAAAAAATACTTGATTTCATGAAATGGTTGTCAATAAGATTTTGAACAAACTACAAATAAAGACTTTTAGAAGCTTTTCTTTTTAAAATGTAGCATGTGTTTTTTCTGAAAACAATCTCATCTGATTGATACATGAACAGTTAATATTTTTTATATATATTATAATATTATATATATTATAATAATATAGAATATTTTTCCCTTTTTTCATTCTTATACCATGTGACTTTTTATTGTGGTATAATGATATTATGCATCTATTCTGCTAGGACCATTTCAATATATGTAATGCAATCCAAGAAAATATATTACACCGATAATAATACACCAATCAGCCATAACATTATGAGCACTGACAGTGAATAACACTGATTATCTGGTTATGGCACCTGTCAGTGGGGGGGATATATTAGACAGCAAGTGAACATTTTGTCCTCAAAGTTGATGTGTTAGAAACAGGAAAAATGGGCAGCGTGAGCCAAGTTGTGATGGCTTGACGACTGGGTCAGAGCATCTCCAAACCTGCAGCTCGTGTGGGGTGTTCCTGGTCTACAGAGGTCAGTACCTATCAAAAGTGCTCCAAGGAAGGAAAAGAATCGGAGACAGGATCATGGGCAGGTAACGCTCATCGATGCAAGGTGGGAGTGAAGGATGGCCTGTGTGGTCCAACAGACGAGATACTGTAGCTCAAACTGCTGAAAGAGTTAATGCTGGTTCTGATAGAAAGGGGTCAGAACACACAGGGCATCAGTTTGTTGGTATGGGGCGGCATAACATTATGACCACCAGGGTGCCCAGGTGGTCATAATGTTACGGCTGATTGGTGTATATTAACAAAAAACATGTTTTTGAACAACTTTATAATCATATGAAATTTACTTAAATGGCTGATTTTCACTTGTAATTAGAGTGAATGAGTGCTTACTCATATGGCGCTACGTCTGCATTAAGTCTTAATACATTACAGAGTATAACTCAAACTGTCCATGTCATTATAATGACCTTATTTGCAATTAATCCATGTGCAATAGTGAGCATGATGAAATTAGAATTGAGTTTGTTCTATATACAGTAAAGGTCCCAGTTATAAATACAGTTTATAAAAACTGTAGTTTAAGAAAAATGGTTAACATTTCTGCAGAATTTAAGGGGTTTTGTATGGAGACTCTACTGGTTCTTACTGCAGCATGCTTACAGACCTCTGGCGTTGGACACGGTGTGGAGGAGAGATGTTTCAGATCTGGAACCTACATTTGACTGGGATAAAGTGTGGATCAGTGTGGGCTTAGCATCCAGAAACCCTGATCATCAGCAAATACATCATAATTATATACACAGGGTATATTTAACTCCTAGGAAGCTTCATTTGATGAAGGTTATTGACGATCCTATGAGCACTTTCTGTTCCTCCAAAGTGATTGGCAGTTATTTTCACCCCAGTGGCCGGATTTTGGAAGATGGTTGCCTTTAACCTCTCTAGGTTGTTTAAGATTAGATTGCAAGGCTGGGTTTGACACTGGATAAGAGAAGAGCATTGTTGGCTGAAAAAAAAAAACTAGTTGCCACGCGTTGGAAACCTCTACATTCACTCTCTTAATGAGCTTGGGTATAAACATATTTGGATATTGTTTATTTGGAGTTGTTGACAGCTAGAGTCCACGGAGCAAAAGAGTCAGCAATAGAGGCATGGCATTCACTTTTAACTATCCTCTGTGGGTTTCAGGTGTAATATGTAACTGAGATTTGAAGTTCTGGATCCAGGGGGTGGGTGGGAGATATCTGGGGTTTTATTTATTTATTTTTATTTTTATTATTTTTACCTTAGTTTTTAACCATATGTATATATGCATAGGTATGTATGTGAATATATATTTTATGCTCTATATTTCTAACGTGTATATATACCTGTATGTATTTTCTCTATAAAATAAAAAAAAATAAAAAACATTTTTGCAGAATTTATAAAGTAATTAAGGTGTAATGTCACAATATGGTGGATGTTACACAATAAAAATATGAGGCAACGTCACACAGTCACAATATTCGACCAAAACTGCAGGTCATAGGTCACATAGGTCATAAAAGGGACTGTGTCTCAAAACATAAATGTTATTTAAGCTCATATGAAATATTTGAACACGTTTCCCATGCTGAGTACAGCAATATAGTTCTGGGGTAGAAAGCTTAAATCTTGCAATGATGAGCGACAGTCATTTATGGAGTACAGTAATATACTTACAGGGGTCTTTTTTGGATAGATGGATAGGGCTTAAACAAATCCAAACTAACCCTCTAATGTGATCATGTCCTGTTGAAAATCACATGACAATTTACATGTTTAACTCTGACCTTTCTCTCCATGTAATTAACATCCATTGGGTGGTTGTCACAGTTCACTGTAGCTAGACCTAACTAGATGTAAAGTAGACCAATCAATGATGAAACGTAGACTTAGACATTAGGTTGACGGATTTTTTGCATCTGAACTATAGTAATAACCAAGGTGAATAAGGTATCTCTCACTTAGGAAGGTTAAAAGTCAAGGCACGTCATATCACTGACTCCCTTCTGTCCAGACATAAAAAAAACAAACCTTGATGGATTTAAGAAACTGAAACCAAGTTCAAAGGCTGGATCACATAGTAGGAAAAATAAAGCCATAAACCATTTATTGCTTGGTGTTATGTTGATACATGGAATTTGCCCAAAGTACAGTACAGTACAGAACATCTTGTGTCCAACAGGAAAACGTTAGAAAAATGTGCATATTCATAGATTATGGAACTGTTAACGAAGTAGAAGGAGTAGGAGAACATA